TCTTTCTAGGAAATGGACTAGCGTAGGGAGCAGTTTATAGACCCTGCCCAAGGGACTGAGAGCACGTAGTCGCAGCTGCGGGCGCAGTGCACTACACTAGGTGTCTCGTTATTAGGCTGTATACTTAGTTGCTTATTTCTCACCTCACGTTTTTTGTCACTTCTGAGTAGTCCATATACAATTTTCTCGCTTTTTGATCTTCAGTTTTTATTATTCATTCATTTTCCGTTAACTTTTGCACGTTCCATTCCACTGCTAGTTTTGAAGCGTTTCGCACTTCATTTTACTGCTTAGATGTTATTCTTCTTTAGTCCCTTGATGTCCGATATTTTTCTTTAGATTCCACTTATTCACAAATTTGTGGTTGTGTTCGGTTATTCAAGCGTGCCCATGTTTTTGTGCAGCTGAATTCCTGTGTGTCGGACTCACCCTTTTGCCGTAGGGTCACTTTCCTCAATGTGGCAAAACGTCCATCGGTGTTTCCCAGTTCTTGTGATCCACTCTGTTTGTCCATAAGCATTCACTATTCCTCGTTTTCTAGGCACTGAAGCCTAGCAACAACACTTGAATGCCTTACTATATGGAGCAAACGAACAACTCCCACTTCGTAAATGATAAAATGTGTACATTCGAGGCGAATGAGAGTGCGCGGGACGCGGTTTAGGAAAATGTGAATCAGGCGGGTCAAAATTAGTGAGCAGTACAGAACAGAATCATTAAAGAAAGGAAACAACGAAAAACAAAAACTTGGAGAAGGCGGTAGTTGGAGGGCGGCAGGTCGACTTTAGTAAATACAAAGAAAGCAAAATGTAGCTTACGCTGTGAAGAGACTTAAGGTGCAGGCTTAGGCTAATTTCTGCAGCTTCCACTGGAGCTTCGGTCGCTCCCAAAGAGGCTCTAGCAGCTGTTAGGATTTGTCACGATGTCATAGGCGAACGAACCTTCGGGAACACAGGGCAGCTCCCCGCTGAATGGAATGTTGAAACGAGTGCCTCTCTTGTCCAGGAGGCCTTCAGTTTTGTACAAATTCCATGGGGGAAATTTGATGGCTTTAAGGTATAATTGTTAGCCTACAGAGGCTCCATCTGGCCCTATGTAAGTGTCTCAAGGGCATTTAGGGTAGAGCCGTCATTGAAGGCGTCACCGAGATAATCAGGTCAAGGAATGTCGCATACCATTTCGCCCATGCTCTCGCTAAGGCGGGTGTCGTCGCAATGACGCTCAAATTTTAAATGTTGTTTGGGGGGCGGTATATTGCAGCTTCTCAGCTGCAAACTCTCAAGGAGTAAAGAGCGGATATCGCTTAGCTTGGAATCCGCGTAGGATTTTTCCTGCGAGCTAGCGTGCACACTCTGGTGCTTTTACCCGGGAGCAGAGCTTCCGAAAAAGCTGAATGAAGACAGGGACAATGCGACGGACTAGGTGCGGACAGTCTCAGTATCAGACGCGGCAAGGGGCCTTGGGGGGACGACGGCCTCGAATGAAGCTATTTTAGTAATAAGCATTTGTACTGCATGCCAACTCATAGGTGGCTCCGATTTTCTCTCGCATGCCTACACTTGCTGAGAGTTTAAATTATCTCCTTGCGCCTTCAGGCATTCTGTCTGCACATGGCTAGTTTCTGTGAAGCACATGAAAAGGCACGTGGGGGAATGTGGTACTCAAGTACACCAAAGGCGGTGGAAACTGGAAACTAAACACAGATGCCAAAAACGAATCCCAAACTTTCGGCAGCGGATGCCTACATGAGCTGCTACGCCAACCATTCTAGTTTCATTGGTATGTGGTTCGTGCAATGTTGCACAAAAGCGCTACCCAGCTTTTCATACTGTAGAACACAGCGCACGGGCAAGCAAGGTGATACGAGCCTAACATTAGACAGATTCATGCAGTAAAGAAGTACAGCAATGAATATGCTGATAACGCCAGCTGGCGAGTCTTTGGTGCGTTTGACGGGGTGAACGTGTCAGTGCAAGCGCTCATGTGAGCATGAACTGTAGTACACTGTATTCTCTGCAGCGTCTACGATGCTGCACAGCCCACAACTCGGACGTTCTATGAAATATTCTCTACTACCGACGCATCGGTCGCGTAGCGTCTACAAATGTATTAGAAGACCGTTTGTCTGTGCTGGCCCGGTGAGGATGTGACGCGCACCTATGCCGGCGTTGTCGGTAGCCACAAACTTGGAGCATTCGCAGGCATTTCTAGTCTATACATGTTAATTTGTTAGTAAATTGCATTTGTATTTCACTAGGAAGAGGTTACAGGGCTCAATCCGCGTTTCATCCTCTTAACCGCCTATAGGTCATCAGTTAGACCTCAGGTGACTGTGGTCACCAGCAAGCCCCATTGTAGTGTACAGGGCCTATTGCTGCGACTACGCTGCTACCTGCCCCTCTAGCAGGGCCTACAAACGGCACCTAACGTAGGCCCATTTCCTGGAAACTGTAGCTTATTTTTATCGAAATACAACAATTCTTAAGTTTTTCAAAATCTGTCTGTTCGAATCGCCCCACTCTGGGAGCTCGCCTCCTAGGCCCTATGGAGAGGAGGCCTGTAGTGCTGAGACACTACAATGGGGCTGACTAGTGTCCTAGGGATGATAGCTAGCTAGCGACCTGCAAGGGGCCGCGACACTGGAGGGGGGCATGACCCCCCCAATACATGAAAAAAATAAGAAACGCCGTTAGTGAGTTCTAGTGAAAACGTGAATTGTGCGGAAATCGTGTGGAGACTGGGGCTGGCGATAGCGCCGGCACCAATGCGACCTTCCCCCCCTAGGGTCTAGGGGGTAAGCTCCGAGAAGGGAGCGAATCGAAGACAGAGAACACAGACACTTCTTCTTGAATTGTCGTTTTTCGACGGAATAAAGCTGTAGAGACCGAGAATGGGGCTAATCTAGGTGTAGGATCTAGACCTGTAGAGGGACAGGAAACAGCGTAGTCGCAGCAGTAGGCGCCGCGCACTACATTTGGGGGCTGTTCCGGGATTGAAATCTTTATTCTTTCCGGACTTGGGAGTATAATTATCTTGTTTTAATGCCACGCACCTAGAAATCTTTGCTCGGTAAGGGATGCACCTCCGCAACGGACGCGTCATCGGTCCCACACCACAGGAGACTCCAACAATGTCGGTCAACAAGTTGCCGAGCGGAACACCCGCCCACCACCGCCACGCGACTCCGAAACCCACCGTGGCAGAGCGGTCGCATGGGCATAAGGAGGCGCCCCCGCAGGAGACCCCTTTGCCCAACGTCTCGCCAGGGGACAGTCCCATCGTCACCTGGAACCAATTCCAGTCTGCAATGAGCGTGATTAGAACGGTGATAGGGGGAGCCGGAGCATCCGGGGCAACGACTCTTATACTACCTGAAGACGGCAGCACGATGAAGGCCTTTCTGAAGCGCATCGAGCGTCGGTACACCCAAATGGGATTGGAACCGCGCGAGTGGGGAGATGCACTCATAGACCACCTTGTGGGCCCGGCTCTAACTTATTTGATGTATCTACAGGAAACTATTGACCTAAGTGACTGGGCAACTGTACGGTGCAGGCTTTTGGAGCGGTTCGACAGAACAATGTCACAGAGTCAATTGTTAACGGAGTTGACAAAGGTTCGGTGGAACGGCGACCCAAAGGAATACACCGATCAGTTTGCGGCGGTGGCAGAACGGGGTTTGGGTCTACCCCCCGACGAAATCGCGGACTACTATTTTAGTGGACTACCGACAGATCTCCATCTCCTAATCACCAATAACGGACACGTGAAATACCAGTCGTGGGAGCAAGCGTCAATCGCCGCAGCGCGGATTCACGAGCCCAAGCACAGCGTGCCGGAACTCCGAGAAAGGATCAACCGGGCCATTAGCCAGGCCGCCCAAGCCAAGGGACTTAGTGGGCGCCAGGCAATTGAAAATCGTTCTGGGAGAACCCACGCTAACTGTTTTGAGTGTCAGGGACGCGGACACCCGGCACGTGCCTGCCCTAGCAAAGGGGAACGTACCAGACGTCCGGGGGATATCTGCAAGAAGTGCGGCGGTGTCGGACACTATGCTCGGGACTGTCCTACGTATGAACGAAGTCGGCCCGAGCAGGTGGACAAGGGCAGTAGAACTCCCACCCGTTCTAGCACTGAGAAGACGGAACGATCAAACTTGCGGGTCTAGGCGTGGGTGGAGACGAGCGTTCTAGGCCGCGTAGCCATGGCAAAGGGATGATGTGTCCGGTAGCGACAGGCCTTAATGCCATTCCAGTCTCCCAAGAGATGGGAAACCAACTCCTCCGCACTGCGAGAGGAGCCGATAAGAGTGACGAGCGAGCGGAAGGGACTCAGCCGCTTCCGGAAACGCGATGGGAGTCTGGGTCAGAGTCGACCCTGAGTGAAGAGACTCCGGACGCGACGATGAATAGCAGCAGGAAGTCTGCACAGGCGACAGAAGACAGAAATAGGTCAGACGCGACAGAGATTGTGCCACACTGGTGGAGGGAGACTTGCATGAAAGAGTCTTACGATCAAGGGGGAGCGTTGTGCTGTGCGGGTGCGACGGCGGTACTTCGCGTTGAGCTTGTAGGGAGTCCTTGCGAGGCCCTCTTGAACACTGGGGCTTCTAGAAGTTTCATTAGTCCTAAATTGGTCGAACGACTGCAGCTGAAAGTGCGGAGACTACCAAAGGAACATAGGTTCACCATAGCTACAGGTGCACTATTACGCATTGATCGGGTAGTGACGGGATTGACGTTGTGGTGTGGACATACACGTTTTTCCGGGGACTTTCTAGTGGGACCCGTTCCCTACGACTTAGTCTTGGGTTTGGATTGGCTGACGGAACACAAGGTGGCCTGGTACTTCCAGTCTGACAAACTCCGAACCTATGTGAATGGCCAGTGGTGCGAGCTACCAGTCGTTCGGACGGGTGAATCGACGCGGCAAAGCGATAGCTCCACCGTAGTCTACCCTCGGACTCCAGCAGAGCAAGCATACGAGATCTTGGCCAAACAAGTGGCGGGTATGTCAGCCGAGGAGGCAGCTGTATTCCTACGCCCGCCGCCAAAGAGGTACAAGTCCCGCGCGAAGACTAAGGCCAAGGCGCGGATAACGTCGCTCGTTCGTCAGGCGGTGAACGATACTAACGATCTCAAGGCTCCGTTGCACGGTTTGCATCTCATACTGGCTTTGCCCGAAGCCGATTCGGCAGTGCCCTTAAGACTCTCGGATAAATGGCAAGGCGCGCTTTGTTGCGCGTTGATAGGGAGTCAACCCACGTCCTCCGGCTGCAGTAGTCCTTTGGCTTCCACCGCCTCGGCGACAGCGGAGAGTGACGAGGAGTCTCCCTGGCCTATGGCAAAGCTCGAACACACCCTATTCGGCGAATGGATCAATTCAGATGAGGCGCAGGAAATTCCAAGTGAGGTTGCTCAGGTGCTGCACGAGTATCGGGCGGTTTTCCCCGATACCTTACCTAAAGGTTTACCTCCGAAGCGCCCTCATGATCATCATATTCTCCTGGCGCCTGGGAAACTTTCAGCGAGATCTGCAATATACCGTATGACCCCAGAGCAGCTCACTTTCCACAAACAGGAGATAGCCAAATTATCGGAATATGGTTGGATCGGACCTACCTACTCGCCTATTTGCTCACCTACGATCATGGTGGACAAGCGTGATGATGGCTCCGGGGAGCGGAAGATGCGGATGGTTGTCAATTATCAAGCCTTGAATGCGCTTACGATAGCCCCTGATTTTCCATTACCTCCCATTCAAACCATTCTGGAGCTGCTCGGAGGCGCCAAGTATTTCTCCACCTTGGACCTGGAAGCAGGATTCCATCAAATACATACGGCTAAGGAAGACCGGTGGAAGACGGCCTTCCGGTCCGTTCTCGGGCAATTCGAGTATCGCGTGATGCCCTTCGGTCTTAAGGGGGCTCCCGCTACGTTCCAGGCCAATATTAATGCCTATTTACAACCCCTATTGGGACAGGGCGTTATTGCGTAACTGGATGATGTACTATCTATAGCTCTGATCTCTCTGAGCACGTCTCTCTTCTGCGACAAGTCCTAAGTATTTTTCTTCGACATCAGTTTTACCCAAAATTCCGCAAATGCAAGTTTGCAAGGCAAACCATTACTTATTTGGGCTATACCGTATCTGCTACGGGGATCAAACCCGCAGAAGACAAAATCGAAGCCATCCGGCATTGGCCGGAGGTGCTGGAGAACGAAACGCAAGTGCGCCAGTTTCTCGGTACCATAAATTACTGTCGCATGTTCATGGGACCAGACTACGCCGACGTTGCTCGGCCGCTGGTTGATCTAACGCGTAAAGACGTCAGTTTCAAATGGACAGAGCTTCACACGCAAGCGGTGCGGCAGCTCAAACAGCGTTTAATAGACTTCACTACCTTACAGGTCCCCGACACGACGAAGCCCTTCGAGTTATACACAGATGCCTCTGGTTACGCAGTCGGAGCAGTTCTTGAACAAGACGGTAAACCCATCGGCTTCCTCAGTCAAGTCATGAACCCCACGCAGCAGAGATACTCGATCTACGATCAGGAACACTTGGCGTTGGTCACGGAGCTGGACAAGTGGGCGCACTTGCTCCGTGTCTCCAAGGTGACGGCTTTCACGGATCATCAAGCTCTAACCCATCTCCAACGACTCCAAGCATCGAAGCCTCTGCGCGGACGCACCGCCCGGTGGCTAGACTTCCTTGCAGAGTTCCCGGATTTGCACATCACGTATGTTCAGGGAGCGCGCAATCAAGTTGACGACGCCTTGTCTCGCCGTCCCGGCCTCTCTAACACCTGCTCGCACGACACACCATCGGCACCGCTGATGCTCGCAACAGGAGAAGCGAGCGCGGCTCCCAGCTCCCGCGGTCCGCCTCCCAACTATCGCGAGCTCGCCGGAATTCGCCCGCGCCGCCCTCGACGACACAGCACGCAGTCTGCGCCTTCCCCTGCGCCGCAGGAACCCAACCCAGAGCCGGAACCTCCTGCACTTACAACGAAGGCTCCCGCTGGTCCCCCGGACGCGCGCCATTGGCTGCAAGCGTACTCGAAGTGTCCTGTTTTTCGAGTTCCCTACGAAGACGCAGCAAACCAACCAGGAGAAGCTCTGCAGATCGAGTTCTGTCACCGCCAATCTACCTTTCGCTACGTAGAGCCTTACCTGCACATCCGCGTTCATGGACTGTGGCGCATCTGCGTCCCCCAGTTCCCTGAGTTCCTTACTCACGTTCTGCATTCGCATCACGACCATGTCACAGCCGGCCATCGAGGGCAGAAAAAGACCTTTGCAGCCCTCAGCAAGCTCTACTACTGGCCTGGAATGCGTGCCTATACCACCGCTTATGTTGAGTCATGCACCCACTGTCGCGCTTCAAAATCCCTTAACCAGAAGCCTGCAGGCCTTCTTCAACAGTTGCTCATCCCTTCTCGTCGATGGGCACACGTGAGCCTCGATTTCATCACAGATCTTCCCCTTACATCGACAGGGCACGACTCGATCCTTGTCATGGTCGATTGCCTCAGCAAGATGCCTCATCTCGTTCCTGCAAAGAAATCTTTCACAGCAGCAGACACCGTGGAGCTCCTCGCAGACCGCCTTATCCGCTACCATGGATTTCCAGAGGCGCTTATATCGGACCGAGACTCCCGCTTCCAGTCGGATCTTTGGAACCAACTCTGCCGCCGCTTTAACATCAAACGGTGCATGTTCTCGTCCTACCATCACCAAAGCGACGGCCAAACTGAACGGGTTAACCGCACACTGGAGCAGATGCTTCGTACCTATATCAAATCTGACGAACGCGAGTGGGAGCGTTTGCTTCCGGCCTTGGAACTTGCCTACAACACAACAAGTCATTCATCCACTGAGTTCTCTCCCTTCGAGGTCATGATTTTCGAGAACCCGTTGGCTGCTGCGGACCTTGATACCGTAGGCGCGTTAGCTCCTACGCTGACTCCTCCGATGACTATGCTTTTCCGGCAGCTCTGCGACAGAGCACAGAGTCACATCCTGAAGGCCAAATGGCAGCAGAAGTACTACGCAGACACAAAGCATCGAGCAGTGGAGTATGCGGTGGAAGACAAGGTCTGGCTCAGCAGCAGGCACCTACCGCCTTTCCACAGCTGCCCTAAGTTCGAGCCCCGTTACCGCGGGCCCTTCGAAGTCATCGAACGCATAGGAACTGTCGCTTACCGTCTCGCTGTGCCTCCCACCTATGAATGCCATAACGTTTTCCACGTTTCGCAGCTAGTTCGGTTCCCTCGGCAGCCGACGCCGCCTGGCCTCCTATGCACGATGCAGCAGGCAATCCCACAGAGGAATACGAAGTCGACTAAATAATGGACCAACACGGCTCGGGAGATGCAGCCCAGTACCTCGTGAAGTGGCGGGGAACCCCTGAAGATCAAGCCACATGGGAGCCAACTCACCACCTTACACGCTCCCCGGCTTTGCTTCGCACTTGGCGCCGCCGCCAACGAAGACGTCTTCAGGCTCGAAACAACGTTGGTCCTTCCGAGCCGTAGACGTATGGGTCCGTTACATTCCACCGCCTGCAGCAAGGGCACCCTTCAATGAGGAGGGGGGAGTGAGCGCTGCGCACCGCGTGCGCTCACGGCGTTAGCTTTAGAAGAGCACAGAGATTGAAAAGGCAAAAATAATGTGCTTTGGGGTAGGTCTCTTCAGTCCGGCAAGTGGGGAAGTTGTAGTGCACAGGCACTACAATGGGGCTTGCTGGTGACCTATAGAAGATGAGTAGCTGGTGACCTATGAGAGGTCAACACGCTGAACGAGGACAGGACCCTCTTACTAGGATCGAAGTAAGCCAACTTGTCGGCGAATTAGCATGTACACACTAGACGTGTCTTTGAATACCTGGAGATTGTGGCTGGTGATAGCGCCGGCACCGGTGCAGACCTCCTCCCCACAGGGCCAAGGAGCCGAGAACCCCGAGTGAGGGGGATTTTCAAGAGAACAGATTTTGAAAAAAATATAAGTAACTGTATTTCGTGATATTTGGACTACTGTTTCAAGGAAGTGCGCCCCACATCGATGGTTATCGTAGGCCCCTACTCGAGGGGGCAGGTTGCAGCGTAGTTGCAGCAGTGGGTGCTGTACACTACGTCACCAGCAAGCCCTATTGTAATCCCAGTGCACTACATATGTCGCCATCCACCCCGAAAAGAACTACTTTTCGGAACAATGCCGAAATGAGAGACTCAGTGCTTTTCATCCAAGGTTTGCTCGCATAAAATTGGGCCTGCAGGAACAACTAGAATTGCTCGAAAGTCGCAAACTGCTTAGAGCGGAATTGCAACTCGCGTCACGGGTTAATTTTATGCCCGAGCTACCACACGTGCCCACGTACTGCCGCTCTCCATCATTGACACAAGGATCTGCTTATGCCCAGAACCTTCGCACCTTCAAACAGCGACAAATAAAACTGCAAACACACGGCGTGAACTTGCACTCTCTGTCCACTGAAAATTCCAATGGAGGAAGCCATTTTACTCTCTCCACGGCCACTCAACCCAGTTCATACTGCCGTGGCTCTCATCGCTGCATCCATTGCAGCCGCATCCTTTGCAGAGGCAAAAGGGCGTTCCTAACATTATTTTGCCTCTCAAGCCCTGAGGCTGCAAAAGAAAAGAATGGCTCATGATTGGCTAAAACAGCTTCGGCACCTGCAAGCCTGCAATGGATTTTTTATTGACTAGATCAATCTACGGGCTCCACGATTACCCAAAGAAAAGGGCAACTCGATGCAAGCGTTGCATTGATCCCTCAGGAAAAACGTGAATTCCATCAATAGACCCACTAAGTCGGCTTTTATAACTTGCACAAAGTTTTTAAATATATGCAGACTGGATTGTTTAGGATCTGTGACTTGAATCCCTGTTGTCTGGAAGACCTACAGGTGGTGATTGAATATCTTTCTACGGCGTTTAATGAAGTGCATTACTGGCTTGAGGACTTGGCGCTTTCGGGCCGTTGAAACACACAATAGGAAGACAAAGGTGAATCCTAAAGTGTTAAGTTTTTTTTGAACTCAAGGGGAAGAATAGCAAAAGCTCATTCATCTTCCGATTGTGCCCCAGAGCAGCGGAATTCAATTCGGTTCCTGTTAAGCTCACAATAAGCATCACAACTCAGTGGTGCAGCAAGCGTAATATTGTAGTGCTACTCGTACCCGCACACACGATTTATCTACCCCTTAACTTATTTGTTTGTGTGCGTTCAACAATGTTCAAGCTTCCATAGATTCTTTCCCGACCTGCCCGTAATAAGCAACAGTTTATACTTTATAAAATCAAGGATATTCAGGCGGCATCGTGAAGCAAACATACATTAGGAAACATGTGAACCACATATGGAAACCTTTAGCCTTACAGCGACTTTTTGTGTATACACCATTATGGTTCGCGTTGGCTCCGGTGGCTGCCCCCGTGTGAGGCATCTCAAGGAATACTCCTACCCACTATAGGCGCAATCCTTTACTTGGTACAAAGCAAAAATGTGTTCTGGCGCCCTTTTTGCAATACGTCAGCTGTAAGTCGTAAATTCTCAATGCAGCTCAAAGACGGCCTTCATGGTAACTCGAAGAAATTACTTTGAACATAAAATTAGCTCCCGGGCCATCAAGCTTAGTGTGCGCTGTAACGAGGCTATGGGGTTGAGCCTAGCAAGACACAATGTAGCATGGCCACGTCCAGACGCCGAAATATCGGCTAGGGAGCAAGTAGACCTCAGTGGAAAATTTGAGACGTCTACTTTGCTAGAGAAGAAGTGAGCCATTTTGCTCAAAGATTCCAGGGAACAAAATGGCTCAATTCTTTTCTAGGGAGATAGACATCTTCAGCATCTGTGTGCTTTCCTTTTCTGAAGGGGAATAGCTTGCTTCCTCTCCAGCAGGTCTGGTTCGGTGTCTGCCTAGTTCAGTTATTATAGAATGCTTTCAAAGCTTTAAGGATCTGTTGCACATCAGCTGGTACCATATGCCAGCTCGGACTCACAAACGGCCCGATGTCCTGTGGCCTCGTGGACGTTCCCACGTCTCACCAGGAAAAATTCATCAAGTGGCTTTGATATGCTTTTAAAGTAAGGAAGTGGCGAAAAATAGCACTGCCGTCTTCGTCACGGAGCTACGCTGGCGCATCAGCGAAAGCATCCATCAATCAGGAGGCATCAAAAAAGCCTTTGATTCCATCAGTGCTTCAATAACGACGCAACGGAAACACTATGTAATCCTTGCAGTGTTGGATTTCTTTGTGACGCCCGTGTCGACCATGTGGGAGAGTATTGGTGCAGGATAGTGCTGAGATTTCGGTCGCATCGTCAGGCTTTAGCTAGATAACTTAGCCCCTGGACAAAGTGCTAGCTCCGCTTTTCCTTGGCGCTGTAAGAGCACCAAAGCCCTTTTTTCGTGTAGTGCAATGAGATGAATAACCGACAGCAATGTCACCAAGCATGTGCTCACGTTACCTGGTGAGCAGCTATGATTAGCTCTCCTCTGCCACCTTATATACCTTTCCTTCTAACAATGATGAAGCAATATACTCCTTGGCATGGCCTAAATTCTATGTTGCGCCTCCGCTCCTTAACGTTGCCGCATCGGATGCAGCGGACTAAGAAGATGCGGTGTTCACCTCAGGGCCTAAACTGGCGCAGAAAAGAGGAACTAATCCACCCTCATAAAGATGAAAGACAAACGCGCCATCTGATCTTTTGGGAAGTTGGCAGCTACGATCATTGCGGTGGGGCCTAGTGAGGATAAAAAATCAACGGTGCGCCGCTCGCCTCAGCATCAGGCAGCAGAGCCTCTTTAAAGCCATGTGAGAAGATGAAATAAAACAGTGAACAAGACGAAGAATGTAAAAGCAATAAATTGGCCTCTCGAGTGCTTTTGCAGCTAAGCGTTTTAGACTCTAATCTGGTAACACAGCACTGCGAAATTCGCCTTTTTCCCAAGCGTCTGCACTGCATGTGCTGCAGGGCCTTTAGCACTATAGTGAAACTCTTTCATACCCCCTTCTACTCTTTCCTGTAGCGAAATTCCAGTCTATACAATGCTGGGCCTTGATGCGGTTGTGTAGCACCATTGGTTTTCAGTTAGGCATGGCCCTCAACCGGCAGTACCAAGAATCTAATCCTGCTGAACCGAGCAGGATTCTCGCCCAGAAAAGGCAATGTAATTCTCTCTTTATTCTGAACCGTCAGCCACTGTTAAAATGAAACACTCGTATTGTGTCCCTTCAATCAACGTTGATACGCATTATGCACGTTACATTTTCTGCTGAACACCTATAATATATGCTCCAGAGACACTATGAGCGCACAGCCATTTCCAGTTGTTGGGACCAAGCTGCGATAAGAAATTATAAAACTGTAGTACAGAATAGAACGCACCCAGTTTAAAGATATTTTCACTGAGTGTAGCCAAGACAGTGCTGCATCCCCTGATTCCCTTATTCTCCTTAGGTTGCCGTCAGCGGTTATCTATTGGGCGCCAGCCTTCCCGCTTCCTCAAGATAGTCCTTCGTGTTCCAGCGGAGTACTGTGAAGGCTTGCAGTGAAGTGCGAATGGTGCCTTGAGGACAAACAGGTGAGCCAGTGCGCGATACCAACCGTACAGGCAGTGTGGATGGTAGAGGAAGGGCCGCCACCAAGAGAAGCCATGAGGCATAAATGTTCAAATTGAATATCCACGCAATAGTGTGAAGCAGAACAGGAATAGTACGGAACTGCTTTCCAACCTACAGCTAGGACAACAAGCCCACAACAGATGTACAAAGCTATTTGAAACCAAGCGGGAAGACGTGGCTAGTGAGCAAAAATTGGCATTATGCGCAATTTATGAGAGCATAAAATATTTATTTTGTCGAATCTGATGCTTTAGAGACAATGCATCTACGAAATTGCTGACGTTCGAGGCTAATTCAACCGCACGTAGCACTCACAGCCAGTCTCGGGGCGGAGCCGACTGCTGTCTTTGCACGGGAGACCGCACCGATAGCAGCCCAGTATGGACGTAGGCGACAATAACGCAAACAGAAGACCGTGTTGAGCGTTTAATTTGTAGAAATTAACGCAACCAGGAGCTATGTCTGCGAGGGTGGAGAGACGGAAGCGGAGGGCCTTGACTCATGCGCGCCCCCCACTACACGTCCCCCTAGTAGAGAAAGAGCTGGGCCTCGCGTAGAAGGCAACACATGCGGTTTAGTTTCTATTTGATAAAGGCGCTTCTTCCTCTCCCCTAGCCCCTTGTGTGTTTTCTAGAGCTGGCGCAAGCAACGCGGGAGGCCAGAGGGAAGAACCGACTGGCGGCGATCGTGGCCCTCCCAGGTGAGTCTTTGCGTGTCCCGCGTAAGTGGGCCTAAGCCTGTAGAAGCTAAAACGCATTATTTTCGGATTTCTCTGGGGCATTCATAGTCTCTTTTTGAGGTCTGGACAGTCCCCTTTTCAGGGACACCCTTCCCCGCGCACCCCCCTTCCCAAGGCCCACGTATATGAACATTAGCAAGGGAAAGACACTTGTCAGCCTACCTGGCCTGCCTCTTTTCCTCTCCTGATGTCGGCAGCCGCCTGTTCCTCCAACGGCAAATGTGGTGTAAGTGAGGAAGTGTTTCGGGGCACGAGGGTACCGCAGCTTGCTGCAGCAGCAGTGCCTGTGCGGTCACGAAACATGGGGCCGGCCTCCCTTACCTCTGCAGCAGATTTCGGAAAAGGGTCTCACCCAGTAAGCTGTCTCTCCCTGCTGAGTAGGCCTCCAGAACCCGCAGTGGAGCAGGCAGCAGCGGAGAAGGCTGCTAGCGAGCGTAGCAGCTCCACCACAACTGCAGCAGAGGGCCCTCTTTCTGCTGATGCTTGCAACTCGACCTCATCAGACTCCGCATTCTTACCTACCGACCAGGAGCATGATCTGCTCCGCTTGTCACTGGCCTTCACAGCCGCACGCGGCAGCCCATCAAAAGCAGAGTTTCCACGTGGGGCTGCTTTGTCTCCTTCCTCATCCGGGGCTGGGAAGGCACCTGACATGGCGGCACTCACGGCCCAGCTAAAGTGCCTTGATATGCAAAGTGGCTGTGGGTCTGCATCCCGGGAGCATAAGGATCTGAAGTCGATCAATGTTCCTCTACAGCTACAGCCCCCTCTTACTTCTCCCCAGTCGAATCGCCAGAAGGAATCCAGTGTGGCGTCCGTGGAGGCAAGTGCCTGGGCCCAGACGCCGGTCAAAGAAGAAGACCTAGTGGCCTCCCGAGCACCTGACGAATCCCGCCCGCCGCAAGAAGTCCCCCGAAGTAGAAATAAGTCATGCGCTTCTACTCCAGCGGGCGGGGCTGGCAAATCTCGTGCGGGAGACACAGAAGACCAGGTCTACCGACTGGGTTTGCTGCTTCGCCAGCTTGGAAGACTGGGAAGAGTGCGGTCGTGTTGGGAAATATGGCAGGAGATGATGAACACCGAAGGCAAGCCCCTCATCGAGGCCCCACGTGCCTCTCAGGCGTGTGTGCTTTGCCTGTTTCTAACGTCTCATAGCATTGCATTTGTCTTAGAATGGCTTGTCTAGTCTACATGTCTGCTTTGCGCCGTAGGTCTGAAACCTAACGCTGTTTCCTACGGTTGTATCTTCGATGCCCTTGTAACAAATGGGGCTCTGGACTTGGCCTTGAAGCTGCTCGCAGACATGAAAGCTTCCAACCAGCCTGTCCGGCCCAACACGGTCATGTACTCCACCCTCATAAAGGGATGTGCACAGACGAAACAGGCAGGTTGACCGCCTAAACGCCTCACCGCGACCTGTTAGCATTCCCAACCATTTTCTGACGAGCCAGCATACGGTTAGCTTGGAGGCAGGCAGATAGAGTGAAGCAGTCATGCTACATGCAGGAGATGTTATCCTTCTTGTTGTATATTCAGCTAGATCAAGCCCTGAGTCTATTTGAAGAGATGGCCGCACAGGGGGTCGAAATAAACACTGTTACCTACAACTCCCTCCTCGATGTCTGTGCTCGAGTGGGGGCAATGGACCGCGCGGCTTCACTGCTGGATGACATGCTGCAGAAGGGTAAGCGTCGGCTTGAAGATATGACTTCCCGTTGGATGCGCATTTCAGCAAACGCTGTAAAAACAAATGTTTACGGGTGTTCCCACTAATGCCATGGGGCTTCTCAAACTGAAACAGACTAAGGAGGCAGCGGCATTACGCAGTAATTGAGGCGGCGGCATTACTGCGTACTTAGGCGGAAGTCTCGGCTTTACTGCATCAAATTCCTGTGCAGACCTACATACTTGCATGCGTACTACTCACGATGCCATGATGGATGCATGCATGCATCTGCGTTCATTTGTACATGAATTAGAAATGCTGCATTTCAAGGCCCAGGGTAGCACCGTTTGTTTTTGTTTGTATGGTGCATTTTAGGCGTTCAGCCAGACTTGATAACATTTAGCACCATCATAAAGGGATACTGCGCCCACGGGCAGATGGACAAAGGCCTCCTCTTGCTCAAGGCAATGAAGCAGAAAAACATAAACCCAGATGGTGTCCTGTATAACTCGCTCCTCGATGGATGCGTGCGCTCTGGTGTACGTTACAGCTGGCCTCTTTCTACTTCCTGCGCGAGTAGTCTTACAATGAGAATTTCATACCCTGCCGCCTCCCTGTTCTTGACGTTTGAGTCCTGACACAGTGGATCTAGCTCCGCTAAGGGTCTTAACAGCGAGCAAGAGTGATTGGTTGTGTGTATGGTTTTGACGTGCCTGGCTGCAGCGATCTTCCCTCTGCCTAGAGCTGTGGCAAGAAATGCAAGCGCAGCGCATAAAGCCTTCAAATTTCACATTAAGTATCTTAATTAAACTGCATGGTCGCATGCGCCAGCTGCCCGTCGCATTTGAACTGGTCAAGCAGCTCCCCAAGATGTACGACTTCAGAATTAACGCCCATGTGTATACTTGTCTAATGGCCGCATGCATAGAGAACAGACAGGTTCGTTTCCAGCACTTTTCAGGATCTTGGATATGCCTGCTTAAGGTATTCTGACGTGCTTCTCAGCTGCTCACGTACATTTGCCCACATGTTTGCCGCTAGGCAGCTCTCGGGCTACTTCACTGTCAAGGGCTTGCCTACATGCCTGATAAGCGGGATGCCTTCCTATAGTATGGCATATGTCGTCGTGTGGCTGCACTTCGCCCACGTTGTTAAGTGCATGTTAACACTGAATCTACTTCTGTTGCTGCCTGCGGCGCCTTTCAGTACAGGGCGGCTTACAACGTCTTGCAGATTATGCGCCGAGAAGGGGTAGCAGCTGACAGTAAGACTGTGAGCACCATTGTTTTCGGTTGCCTCAAGGGGAGAATGCATGCCCAGGCAGTCGAGGTTGTATTAAATGTAAGTCATGTTTTTGCGTTGTCGGATGCTTCCCTTCCTTCTGTGTGGTCGCTGTCCCGTTTGCACTTCTGGACTTCTCTCCGTGCTCAGCCCCGCTTGAGGACGCCCTAGTAGTGCAATTATTTTGAGTACACGCCCTCCATCTGCTGCATGTGTGGAACTATTCAGGCCCTCGAGACTCTGCGTGATGCGAACTCCCGAGGTCCAGGCCGCCACCCACCCCGTGGCCGTCATGCAAACGTGGGGACGAATCGTAAACAAGACCTCCCGGCGATCGACGAGAAGACCGTTCGTCTTCTGGTGTACCATCTGAGAGAGCAGCATATGCATCACGTGAGATAACTGAAAAGCTGCTTGGGGTGCAGTGTTCATTTTCCCTTCTCATTTTGATTACGTGCGTTGACAGAACTTCCGCAGACTGCGTTGGTAGACCTTCAGCAAACGTTACACGCTCGGAAGTGCTTGCGTTGTGTTCACAGGAGTGTACTTTGGTTCTGGACACAGCGGTGAGCGTTGGCCTCATGAATCGCGCCACAGCTCAGTCTCTACTGTCAGGTGAAGGAGCCTCCGGTCGCAGGAATCCCGTGATCTCGTCCGCTGCCCCCAATGGAGCGTTCGCTCCACCGCAGCCTCTCAGCCGCCAACAGCACGTGTTAGCCAACTCTCCGCCAGTAGGCGCGTGTCTCACAGGGATTCGCGGAGGTCAGCAGCAAACAAACTCGCACTGGAACGAGGCACGGGGAGTCCGCCGTCTTCCTTCTGGACGTCAAGGGGGTCCCGCTCACCGTAGCAGCCAAGGCGGGGCAAAGGAAGGACAGCCGTTCCCCGCTGAGAGCTATCTGAGATTTAGCACAACTCAAGAGAACACGATCGGCTCCGTACAACCATGGTACATCGATCCGCCGCCCTCCCAGACCCTTTCCCCAGATCCAGTGAGGCCTCAGGCGGTGAGCACGCTGCATTCAGGGGCTGAAGGCAAACAACGGCCCCTCACTTCGCACCTGCAAGACCCGCTGCAGTTCCATACTGCTGGGCTTTTGGGAGATCTGCCAATGCAGCACCTTCTTCACCTGCCGATCAACGGAAGCATTCTAACCGGAGGGAATGCAGGGGACTTGGCCACTTCCATAGCTCCCAGTGGCCAAACGCTAACTCTGGGGGCTTCACCTTACTTGACTGAGGAGGGCATTTCAACGCAAGGGGCTAAATTGCACTGTAGGTGCCGACTTTTGCCGCGTAGAAGGCTTCCTGGTAACGAAACGGGATTGATTTTTCCATTTGCTGGACCATTTTCCCGTGCGTCTGCTTCTGTGTGGTTGGCTTCGCAGCTTCTCTCTCCGTGGATTTGTATGGACCCGGGAAGGTCAGCGAGTCTAGCTGTATTTGGGGCGCGCCGGCTCCCGGGGATACAACACCGTCAGCAACGGGCTGCGGCCTCCTTGCAATGCCATCGGCCGTGGCCTGCCCACCGCCTCACGCGGTGGAGGTACCCAGCAATAGTAACGCTCTTCTTGGGGTAGGTCATGTGCAGCACGTCCTTCTTGCAGGGCATGGGACTAGGCGGTTGCCTATCGAACGTGCCAGGGATAAGATAACAGGGGCGGAAACACTAAAACTGCATTAGTGATGGGCCGATACTTCCGAGTCGCCTGAGGCCGATGCGTAGAAGGGGGTTTCCTCCCGTTAGGCTTATTCGACTTAATGTACACTTTTGAGAGAATAGTGTCTTGTTCCTCTTTTCCAGGCGGGAGGTCCATTTTTCAATGAAGATTACCACCTTTCGGAATTGCCCCTCTCGTCGCCTGGTTTCCCTTGTGAGGGCTCGCTACAGCCCTCTTGCACTACGGCTCCTTTGTTTCAGTAAGGCCTGGCGTGCAACTGTCGTAGTTCTGTTCCCTCTCCACACTGCTTGTTTCTGGGAGATTGCAGCAACACTCTACAGTGTTTAAGCCCTTCGGCGTGTCCGGTGGCTTCGCGCTCGACCTGTTATTCAAGGAAGCTCGGAGAAGTCTGCGAGAGAGGCTCGCCGTTTTAATAAAATGGTACTCGTTCGCCTTTTCCCCGGAAATGATGCACCAGTGGGCTGACTGAGGGGGCAGAGGGAAGCTTTTTTGTTAATGTTCCCCTGACGCTCACTGCAGAAGTTGGAAGAACCTCTGCAGGGCGTCGGCCAGCATCCGGCCAGTCTCCTACGTGCACGTAAATCGACTTCCACGTATCATCTCCATGTCTCTTCCGCGCGCTCTATTGCCACTGTGCCGCCTACAAGTCTTCATCGCTTCAGTCAAAGACAGAAGGTGGAGGAGTTTTTTGCTGCACTCAGAATCCCGTCGATGTAGGCCTATCGGCCTGGCCACCATCAAAGGGATGGTGCCGGCCAGCGGAGCGAACAAATAGGTGTCGCAACCAACAGAGCGCATCTGCAGTGTGAAAATTCATGCTGGACGAGACCAGTACACTTGCACCAATTCTACTCAGATTTCGCATGCAATCGTATCGTTCCAACGTCCCACTACTTGGCTAGCGCCCTGAATGCATTAGAAACGCAAAACTCAGGGTGCATGCTGTAACCGCTGCCAACGTAGTCATACTACACAGAGGTGGGCGTGCCACGGCAGTAGTGTTCCTGTTCGTAAGGCGCTCGCAGTATCCACAGACAGACAATGAGCTGGTTTCGCGTTTCATATTGACTCCTAGGCGGAGGTCAACCGTCACGCGATATACTTGGTAGCAATTGGGAGCGGAAGCTTGTGGTACTTCTGTGCCCTGACTAACATATTTGACAACACTTATAACCCGTGAACATTGCTTGGCATTTAGCAGCGTGGAGTTCCCGTAGTCACGAGTCTAGTTGGGCTAACGACAGCAAGGAGGCAAATCCCAGTGCTCGTACGTATTCACACGCTAACGTAGAAATGCAGAGAAACACTGCAGCAAGCCTAAAACTAACCGCGGTGTTACTTAGCATCGCGCATCATAGCGAGCTCCCCCGATATGAGCACGTTCAGACAAACGTCTTTTCGTAACCGAAAAGGCCATCTACAGAAAAACATTCGTCGTGAGCGCTATGCCTGGCAGTGGCGCACTTCGTAATCGCACGCGGCGTGGTGCGTGTATACGACTAGAAGCGCGAAGCTGCTGCACGGGCTGCTGGCTCAGATTTGGGACAAAAATGGACTTGCGGGCCTCTGTCTCCAGCAAAAACGCTTGGCCTGTTCGCAATCAAAATCCCCAAAAGAAACCGGCTACAGTGCTGGCGATGCCGCCGTCAGTCTCTTCATCGTCACTGGATGAGTCATTACTCTGGTCGTCCGCCCCGTCCACAGTCGAAAGTTTCAACGGCGGCACATCACTGTCTTTGGAGGCTTCTACCGGACTCTCAGTGCCTACAATTAGCTCGAGTAAAGATGGACGAGGGGCGCTGGACGTCGTCGGCTGTGAGGTATCCTTGGAAGCGTCAGGAGAAGTTCTTTCACTATTTCCAAACAGACTGAATCCCCACCCACCGCTTGTAGTCGGTGCTGCAGTAGTTTCGTTGGCATCTGCTTCGTTGGCAGCACTCTCTGCCTCGGAATGCGGGATGGACCTCTCGTCTGACGAAGCGTCCTTCTTTCTCGTCTTCTTTTTTTTCTTAGTGCTTTTCGTCTCTTCCCTAGGAGACTTCTCACGCTTTGATTCGCTCTGACTGTCGGCGGCAGCTCCAGAGATCTTCGATTTCTTCTCTTTCTGTCTTTTGTCCCCTACTGGAGTTTCACTCAGTTTGTCAAGTTCACCCTCTGGCCGTTTTCCTGGTTCTTCCTTGCGCGACGTAGCAAAGTTCCCCTCCTCTGTATCCTTCCGCTCACGGTTAGGAACTTCCTTTTTCTCCTCGCTGGTCTCGCTAGCAGCCGCTGCTGGTGGATCTGGTCGGTCAGCCTTCGGCGCAGGAGGCGGTAGCCCTGGCTTTCGTTTTGTCAAGCTCATAGTCCTTTTTGGAACTTTGCCAGCGACAGCAGCCGACTCCTCAGCTGCTCGCACCATCTTCTGCCGAGGAGAGGCTTGAGAAGCCGAGCTCCCCTTCTTAAGAGCCTCTAACTCCCTCTGCAGCTTCTCAAGCTCTTTCTTCAGGCCGACGCTGTCCTTAATTGCGTCCATCTTCTCCTTTTGTAGCGTTTCCAGCTTAGCTCTTAGCGCCTCCACTTCTTGGGTCTTTTCCTTTATTATTTTGTCCTTTTCAAGAGACTCTTTTCTAACCTCTTCTAACTGTGCAGTTTTCGCCTTGAGGTCCTCTTCCCGCTTCCTTAACTCAGCAGCGATATCGGCGGAAACAGGACCACCAGCCTTCAACTTGGCGATTTCAGCTTTCTGTTCCTCTATCAGAAGGCACTTCTGCTCAATTTGCCTCTGGAACTCAGCAAGACGCATTTTGGCCTCCTCTGAATCCACTGAAAGGCCAGAGGACCCCGCAGCAGGACCCTCCTCATCCAAATGCCTATTCGAAGTTCCTCCTCCAGCTGCGTCATGATCTGGACGCTGGAACGCGCTTTCCTGTGGCCTGTCAACCTCCACTTCACCTTCCCTCCTCTTGCCACCACGAGGAGACTCTGTAGAGGGAGCGCGAAGCTCAGACAGCTCACTCCTAAGCGCTTCGTTTTCCGCTGTCGCCTTCTGCAGCCTTCTGTGCAGAAGATCTAATCTCGCCTGAAGCTTCTGTTCCCCAGGACTCTTGCTATCTTGTCCTCCACCCCCGAACCAAGACAACAGACCAGCGGGTTCGGCTTCGCTGTGCTGAGTTGGTGGTCTTGTTGCAATCTCGAGCTCCTCCTTAGTCTCCTGATAAAGTTGCTCAAGCTTTTCTAGCCTTTCCTTGGTAGCTTCCTCCTCTTCCTCTAGGTTCGCGATCCGCACCTTCTGCGCTTTGTATGCCTTGTACAGTTTATCCCTCTGCGTTTTAAGTCCTTCGTACTTCTTAGCCCAGTCACTCTGAGGGTGAGCATCCAGCAAAGCCGAAGTGCTCTGAGTAGTGAGACCCGTCTCGACTGTTGAGCCGTGGTCGATGTCATCAGTTTCTTCTGGTGCAACACCCGAAGCAGGAAGAGCCGCGGCAGAAGCAGATTTCAGCACAATGCTTTTCCCTTCCATAGCCTTAGCAACAGGCATCCCGCCATTATCCTTGCCTACTTCCGAAGGATCCATATTGCGAGTCTCATGCTTGGCTTGGAACGACTCGAGTCTCCGGCGAAGGGAATGCTGTTCCCTCTCCATCTCAACAAGGGCATTGCATTTTATCACAAGATTCCGGATCCGCCGCTTCGCCTTATGTAACCGTTCTGTTAGGTCCGCCACAAGTTCTTCGGCAGAAGACAGTTCAGCCCCGGAGTCCCCGTCTTCTGTTTCTGCGTCCGACTTGGACAGAACTTCCTCAGTCAGAAGATTTGCTTTATCAGGAATATCCTCGAGATGCATTGCTCCTAAGGCGCCTGAATCGTGTTGCTTAGTGTCTTCAGGACGCTTGTTGGCCGCCTCAGTATCCACAAGGCTCGTCGGGGGCCTCGCTTCTCCTCCACCTTTAAGTGCTTCTGAGCCTTCATGTCCGCCATTCGCTTCTGTATTTGAGCTTGTATGCGCTTTAGTTGGCATTGCAAACTCCGCGGGCTTCGACTTGAGTGGTGGCGTCCCCTTAGGCTTCGTGCTGGGGACCCCCTTGGCAGCTGATGACCGCAAGGTGCGAAGCTCCGCCTCCAATGCAGCAATTCTTTCCTTTAAAGCATTTCTTTCTCTGCGCAGTGTCTCCGCTTCCTCCACATCGAGGCCTCCTTCTTTGCCGGAATCACCCTTCATGATCTGTGTGTCAGCCTCCTGCTCGGTCCCAGTGGCTTTTTCCTGAGCCCTTAGAGCCCTGAGCTGACCTCGTAGTGTCTCAACTTCCTTTTGAAGGGCATTTTGAAGATTCTTTAACTCATCGGCAGCAGCTAACTGTTCTCGTAAAGATGCTATTTCCTTCTCAAGCTTCTCCTTTAATTCTGTTGTCAGCTCTGCCCCACTGCCTTCGTGCTCTATCATCGGATATGCTCGGGTAGAAGGAACTTTGGTTTCCTCCGTGGACTTAAACATAGATAAAGCCCCTTTCTTGGGAGACGTGATATTTCTCGCTGAATAGTCTATTTGAGATTGTGACGACGGCCCTGTCATCTCTGGTTTGCCATCTTCCACAGTGGCCTCTTTACCTGCACAAGAGCGTATTCTTTTCGGTGGTGAGGCCTTCTCGGCAGCATATGTTTCTTTGTCTTCTCCTTCTACAGCGTCCGGATCTCTATGCCTAAGCGACAGTGCTTCTCTACCATTCATTTTTTCAGGTGTGTGGTCGCCCTTCTGCCCAGCTGCGACTTTGTCTCTTGGCCGCTTTCCTGGTTCTTCCTTGTGCGACGTGGCAGAGTCCCCCTCCTCTGTATCCTTCCGCTCACGGTTAGGAACTTCCTTTTTCTCCTCGCTGGTCTCGCTAGCAGCCGCTGCTGGTGGATCTGGTCGGTCAGCCGTCGGCGCAGGAGGCGGTAGCCCTGGCTTTCGTTTTGTCAAGCTCATAGTCCTTTTTGGAGCTTTACCATCGACAGCAGCCGACTCCTCAGCTGCTCGCACCATCTTCTGCCGAGGAGAGGCTTGAGAAGCCGAGCTCCCCTTCTTAAGAG